AATCTCTAGTTGCACCAACAAAAAAGTATCAATATTTCGTATCTAAACACATTTCATATTCAAGATAAGTTAACAAAGTGAAATACAACGAGATTTTTAGTAAATAAAATACAAAACATTGACAAACATACAATTAGAGATAAAAAGTTCAGTCATGTAAACATGGGGTTACACTATTAAACATTTTGTAGAGGGTCACGACTGTCGATAAGGAACTGATAAAGATTGATGCAATATTACCAAAATAGACACGAATCATACACAAAACCGACCAGTAATTGGACTATTATTGCTCTGGCATAATTTTAGATAGAATTTGATACAAAGTACTAATTATAATTGCTATCAGAACAAATAGTTCGTAGTCTTAAGCTTGTAGTCATTTTGTAATAACTATAAATTATTATAACGGTTTTGATAAAGACTGTTAAGAGCTTTAACAACTACCTCATTGCTTATTGGATATTTCTATGTGGGATATTGAAGTTTTAATAATTAAGAAATTGTCTAGAAATCTGTTTAACTATCTAGGATCAAAAATATGTATTTTCAAATTACCACTCCGATATCTTTGAGTGAAACTTCAAAAGCTATAAAACGGCTACAATTTCACTTCACAGATCAAATGTTGAAACTTATAGTGCACTGTAATATCATTTCCAGCGATACCATTACTTTACGGACAGCAAATTCTAAAATATACGCGAGCCGCGTCAGGCATTCAATGTAATAGCGCTGCAACTTTGAAATTATATCCTTGGCGACTGTTGACTCTCCCCGCGGGCGAGTCCATCGTTCATTGCTCAGTACAACTCAAACACCGAGAAAATTAATCCTAAGTTTACATCGTTAACTGTTCGCTTTTCAACCGTCTTCTTACCAGATCGTGTTTCGGGATCGAATATCGAGCAGCGTCTAATATTCTACGTGACTTCTTCGAGCGATAATAGATCGACTTGTAAAGATTCCATTAAGGTACGAGTTGAGTTTTTTCATCGACTGTCGTGTACCTCGTCCTATTGTTGGAGAGAAATCGTTCGTAACGGTTATACTTTTCCGCGTTTTCTGCGTTCTTGTAATGTTTAAGGTCTTTTGCCATTGATTTTACATTGCAATGTACCATTTAGTTTTATTGAACCCATGCGTGCAGTCCTGAAGATGTACTTAATGAATAAATTGATTCATTTAGTAAATTATTTTTCTTAAAGACATGATTATTTGAGTTTTAATATGGACTAAACTCTTAACAGATAATACCTCTATATATGCTTTTCTTTAACTTTTCTCAACAGTCAAGAGAACAATATTACCTATTCTCAGTACCTAAGACTTCCTATCTCTCCGTGCTGATGAACCATATCTTTTTACAATTCAGCACACGACTAGTCGTAAAGATTCAAGACTTCATTCTTCCAGTTCAATCGAAAACAAGCTTAAATTGGCCGTGAACGTACTTTTATACGTCAGCACTGAACACAAACGTGAGTATAAAGCCAAAAGTATGAATAAGGTATCACATGTATCGTCTGGCGTCGCGAACTCAATAGTTTTCACTCATAATTTATGAACTGTCTGATTTCTTGCCGTTGAAACTGATAATGTTCCTTGAAATACAACACAAAATGTAACATCAATTACTCAGAACCAAATTACGCATACAATTTTTACAAGCCTAAATTAAAACTACACAATCATAATTCAATGTGCATAAAATCATAATCAAGCTGACCATAAAATCTGTTTATACTTCGATCGATATCAATTAAATAAATAATTCATTAAGTTACAGCAACAATCGCATCAATACAATTCCACGACTTAAAGTCGCGAGTGCGGTACACATCTAAGAAATGCACGATGCAACGGACGGACAGGGAGTGCACGTTCTTAGAATAACAAATAGACGGTTGCGGGAAGCGGTCACAAGCAATCAGAATTGTGGTTGAACCCACAGGACGATTTGTGGAGATTAATTAGCAAAAACGAATTGAGGTCGCCGTTTTAATTAGTCTTCATTTTGGGGACCGAAAAAGGAATATGGATGAGATGATAAAATGTACAAAAAATCTTTAGGCAATATTAAAATGGATTAGGAGGAATATTTAAAGGAAAAATATGTGGAATCTTTTCAAAACAGACATAATCATTGTAAACAAAATACAAGATGTTTTTGTTTATTTGAGTAATGTAGGTAATTTACTTAGACTAAAGACACAAACTTGTCCCATTGGGAGCCTTACCTACTTTAAAAAAAAATAAAAAAACTTACATTTGATTCAAATAAGAGGGTTCGGCATTGTTCTTACCAACGACATAATTCTTATTTTATGGCTTCTGAGCCTAATTATATTGTCCAAAAACAAAATGAATATACGAAAGTAAATATCTTCAGTGGCTAAGCAATCAAAACTGTGGCTGCAGCCTCCGAGAGATTTATAGGATTAATTAGCAAAACAAATTAATTGGGGTCGGCATTTTACTTTCTTCTGTTTATACTGTCCTTGAATTACAAAAAGGCAAACTTGAGAATCGCTTTAAATGTTAAATCTATGAAGCCATTAATCTAAATCTTATTTTTTGCACTCTAGAGTTTACATTGCTGTAAAACTACTTATTGTTCTCGAATAAATATCATTTTACTAAAAACTTTTACGACTACCAAGACACGACTGCATCAGTAACAAAAACAAAAGTAAATGTATATAAACATAAACAAGTTTAAATGAATTGCTATCAAAAAACCCTGAAAAATTAGGGCCCAGCGCAGCAATAACTTGGCGACCGCCATAAGATTACCATCGCACACATGGCATACAGTTGGCGACAGCGGTTGTAAAATTATGGTGTACGGGAGCAAGACAATCTCGTAAAAATTGATGGACGTGTTTTAAAAGCCCGAATATTGTCAACCCTTTTAGCTTTCGCTGGCATTGTGATGCGTTATCTTCACGGTGAATGAGTTTATGGGGAGGCAGGAGCGCTGTCGACGTCGACCCCTGATTTAGTGAAAACATAAGCTGTAAGCAACAGTGACATTTTGAACATCGGTAAATGATAAAATATCTCTGAGTATTACAAAGATAATAAATTATCTGATAAAAATCTGTGACAAGCAAAAACAATTACGTTCTAACATCTAACACTTGAAATCAACTCATCACTAAGACAAACTTAAAAACTAAATCCCACTTATCGACTACATAGATATGAAGCTTAGAAATCAATCTTCGGTAAAAACTCATTCTTTTCCTCGTTTCACACACACTTCACATCCAAAGTTAGGCCCTAACACACGAGACATGACGACAGATGACGCGTAAACTGCGGGGCGTCGTTGAGTAATGAACGCTCGCCCATTACTCATTACCGGCCGTGACTTGCCGTGTGACGGGACCTTTATTTCAGCGCTACACTACTGTTTCCAATGATTTATGCGTCGTCGTATTTTTATTGTTAAGCGCAGCTATCAATCAGTTTCGTTTGCTTTAAGGAGTTTTACTTTCATTGTGACTAGAATTTGTCCTCGTTAACAACCACTTACCATATGAAAGCTCTAGATCTAAAATATGAGGTTAAACGATAAATTGGATAATATTTCTATGTATTTTGGGTATTTTTGTCCACGAAGACAGTGATGTATGCGGCGATTTTTCGCCAGTTGTGTGATCATGTCAGTGTTATATGGGACAAGCCTGCCATAAATCGTGCACAGTCTCGACTAATTGACAATACCGAAATGACATTTTCAAAACTGTGCTTAAAATAACTACACCAACAAACGCGACAAAATTATTTTCTCCGTAAATTTTGAACTACGTAGCTCATTAACTCTAAGATATTTACAAAATATCAATGAGATCAAACACAGCCTACGTGTGTAAAGTCACAACCTAAACGGGAATTCATTAGTAATGTTGAAATAACTCCACAAATATAATATTTTGGCAGTTGAAATGCGATCCAATGATTAACATTCAGGACTTGGATTAAATGACATCATCATACAAAAACTAAAGGCGATAATGATACTTAAATAAAAATTCAACATGCTGCTTGGAAAGGAAGCACGCACTACATTAAAGAAACGGTAATAATAAATGTTGGAAGCTATAAATTGAAGAATGATTAGCTCCTAACAGATTATTACTGACAAATGTAACTCAAGTTCCTATTGTGTCCAATTCCATTGAACTGTTGAAATTTGTAAGAATACTCAAGATTCTAAAAGAATTATTTGTATGCAATAACGGAACGCCTTCCAAACATCTGTAGTAGCTGAGAAAGAAATCCGCATCGATAATGTTACTCGTATTACTCGAAAAGTGAGAGAAATCAACGCGCAGATAAACGATAAGGTAATAACAGAAGCCGATCCTATCTTTTGTGCTCTTTTGTTACGCGACGAATACAATGCAGTTGTAAATTTTTGGGTTCTTAACTCCACAATGTTCCCGTCATTAATCTATGGCCGTTGTAACTTGAAGCGGGGTTGGGATCTTTTGTACCTGCTCCGCTCCTCGCCCCTTTGTACCCTGACATGTGCGGGGCAGGGACAAAAACCTTGCGCAATATTGTCTGCCCCAAGACATCGGATGATGTGAAAATAATACCACGGAATATGAAGCAAAATACCCTCGCGACAACAGGCTCTTCCAGTTTTCAACGAAGATTCTAATCTCTAAAGCTCGCAAAGTTCCCATTCGAAAATACCTCCTCAGATCGAACACAACTTTTGCCTATCGATACTATTTTTAAAAATGTCACCCGCAACCACAACTAAGCTTTTTTTGACACGTCGTTTCCACTAAGCCCTTGACATGCATTAACGCCTAACATCGACGCGCACTTTTTCTGTCGAATCTCCAGATGTGAGTGCATCATTAAAATCTTCTATGGCACCAAAAAGATCAAAAGTTATCTCCTCGGTTGGAGAGGTTCCCTCTTGCCCCTTCGTCCCTTTCCCCCACAGGTCCCTTGTTGCCGCGACAGTTGAAGTCGGACGGTCGTGAGGGACGGACGCTGACACTCGGGCGTCCCAACCGCGCTGCGTACGATACCGCGTTTGTGAAAACTGTTTTCCTTAGTGTAATTTACATACGTGAAGTGAAACTGATTACATTTTAGCAACTGTGATGCGAGTTATTGTATGTTTTCAGTATTTTTATGAGTGACAGATTTTATATAAAGTTTGAAGTGAACCTTTTGTGGATTGTTTTTATTTTATAAATCGTCGCTGATGCATTCTATTTCCGCTGTTTTATTTGGGTAACTATTTTGGTATAATTTGTAATGGCAGTTAATTTTATGAGAGCCATGCATCGTTTCATCACGGGTGTTTAATAAAACTGATAGTCTGTTAGGAAATACATTTATCGCGTGCCCAACCGTTCGTTACAATGAAAACAATTCGTATCTTTCTGAGTGTCCCTATTTACTCTCCATCCAATTATACGACAGATAGTTTTGATAAAACAAGATTTATGACTTGAACTACGTCTAAGGAGATATGGAAGTCGGTCACGGATTTATCAGAATCTTACTCAACGACGGCACCAAAAACTATTATGTAGCTTTTTTACGACTCACAACGGTAAAAGCGGCTGCAATTGTGACGGTAGGAGAGACAACATCAGATAAGATGGAACAGCATAAATAGGCTAATGTCGATTCCCATTACGATGCTTTGTCACGTGTAGAAGATGGTCCAGAAGATACGAAGGGAAAAGCTCTAACGATCGTTGCTGTGATTTTGTTTGAGATACCGGCAATTTTGAGGTGATTAGGTAACGTAGGGTGCACTTAGCTATTTATATGAAAGTTCTCAGGACTTTTACAGCTTGTGAACTTCAATCCTTTAGGTTCAATTATTTAATATGTTTGAAACTTTTATTGAAATTTAAAATAATGAAGATCGAATTGTATTGATTGTTATTTCCTCAAAGCTCCTCAGTGATGATGGCCATTTAGATATATGATATAGATATAATAGAGGTGTATTATAAAACTTTACACAATGCAAACCGCTATTTGTATAACTGGATAGCAAAGTTTAATCACTTCCATTAAAAATAAATATTAATCAGGGACATCGATTACTACTACTACTCCTACAACGAAAGGTTAGCCTAAAACATTTTATATGCTTACCATAAATTGTAAATAATTCCAATTTCCTTGGTCCTAGATTGCATAATTAACAACTAGCGGTGCGATATAAAGTGATATAGTATTTGATCAGAGTGTTATCAACAATTTGAACATGGGTTTGTGACAAGATTGGTACCTATGTATATATGTGTATGTTATTGATATCCGATGTTTACATTCGATTTTCAAATTATCGGCGATGTTTGAAATTTTATCGGATTCGATGTCACGTGTGTCTGTCGTTGACATTTTTGGTGTACTAATGAAGTTTATTGAATTTCTGAAATATTTGTGGTAGAATTTATGCTTTAACCTTTAAGTACACGCGTTGTTTATGGTAACGTTTCGTCACGCGTGGGGTCCGGAGGTATCCCCATAAGTATTTTACATTTATGCTGCGTATTTTTGAAAAATTCTTAAATATTAATTTAGATTAAAAGAAAAGACATATTAATACGTATAAAAAGTTTTTATTATTAGCAAAACAATCAGTCTTTACATAGTAAAAAAACATTTAACGAAATAACATCTTGTACATAGCAAATTTTTAAGGCACTTAACCATAGATTTATAAACACTTAACTAATGTTCTTATTTTTTTTTAATTATCAATTTTTGACTTATATATTCTTACTTTCTAATAAAATAGGAAACAAAGAAACGTAATCTAAGGAAAACTAAACAATAATCATACTAATACAAAAAATCACAACCCCTCAATATTACTGTCGGGCGCTAAAGTAAAAAATAACTATTTTGGTTGGCATGGTAAACAATAAGTAATTGCTACTGAATGAGGCTTACAAATAGTTTTTTTGCATGATCTACAAACAATAGTGCTCTTTTTATCCTTCGACTTTGGACAAATACAGCACCTCCGCTTCATTTTTGGAGCACTAAGACCAGCCTCATCTGAGCTAGGCAAAGGCTCTTTTTGTCGATCAATTTGTATATTATAGCTCTAATATCTTTGGTCAAATTGGCGTCTTCTGATATTTGGCGACTCATTTTTGCAGTTTTCAACAGTAATTCTGAAAAAACAACAAATTGAAAAATTGGCAAAGTGAAAAAAATTACTACGTATAATCACGGGTGGGGTCCACAGGTATCCCCGCACGAGTAAAAAATGTACTTACCTTAGCGGCAACGCCACGTAAGTTCACCCGTCGAGAGAATCGGCAGCGCACTGAGATTAGCCAAAATGGTGCGATCGTAGCTTGTCAATTTAAAAAAATATAGTTAAAAAAGAGCACGTGGGGTCTGCTTAGACCCCGCCCGTGACGTTAAAGGTTAATTATTGTTTATGTAAGAATATCTTCGACGGTTTCTTCATTAGATCACAAAATACTACTGCAATGGAAGAGGTTTCGGGACCGATTTTCAAATTAGAAATATTAATTTAGATATAGGTAATATTAACAGTGAAGTGTTAGACGATAAACATAATAATAATACCTACTTACATTTATTCGTATTATTTATACAAATGTCTTACATTTGGTTTAATTATACATTTCTGGTTTAAAGAAGAAAATGCTTATTATTGTGTGTTATGTACTAAACATCTAAGCTACATTAAAAGACAAAAGTGACCTCTATTCGTGGCCTTAAACAGTACAATTTGATGTCGAGAATTTATCACAGATAATTGTAGTACAGGCCCTTCTAAGGAAGCCAAGGTAGTGATTAATTGAAATTCGTATTAACTATAATACTTGTATGTATGTACAATGATTTATATATGTTTTTATTACAGTATTATATAACACTATATCATACTATACATTTATGTGAACACGATTTAGTTTCGAACAATCATAAAACGTATAAAGGTGACTGGTATAATTCGTGCGTTATAAATTTCAAGTCGGTTTATATTTTATGGATGTTAAGGCGAGGCAAACTATTAATTAAGTTAATCGATATTGGATTGATGATCGAAGGATGAACATTTGATATTTATATGTATAAGCTAAAGTGTCTGTTTTGATGTTATTCATCAGTCAGTCAGATGTATGTACCCGACACGGAATAAATTGAGGTACAAATTAAATATAACAATTGCTTTTCAGCAGTCATCTTATATGTATGTGTTTCATAGGAATCAATCAGTTATTTACAATTTTAAAGTCAGTGTTTCTAATGAGATATTTTGAAAATCCCTATAATATTTCGAACTCTAGAAAGCTTGTAAACAGTACTTACAACCAGTTGAACTGCGTGGCAGTATTGATCGAAACATAATTTACATAAAGCAAAAGTTAGTACATCAAGATGTCCGTCATCTGTTAGCTCGCACATGTTGGAACTCTGCCCTCCCCTAAGGAAGAAACAGTATGAAAGTAAATAAATAATAAGGCCTCGCTACAATCAACGCAACACGAATGTTCATTAAACATGCAAAATCTCTTAGGTTTGTTTACAGTAGCGATAAGATTGCCCACGGAAGCTCTTATCGCAGAGTTCGACTAAGCTATGTTGTGCGCCGGTAATAAAGTGAATTGCTAACTTGCGATTGCGACGTTCGATTGTCGCAAACTTACGTCGCAATCGCCACAAAATATTGAATGGATAGATGCTATTGATAGCCACGGTGTCGAGTTCATCTGTTTCAATGGATTGCGTAATAGTCACCATTAAGCACATAAAATAAACTTATGTGTTAAGTTCGTAAAGTAAGATTTGATTAAAGATTACGATAAGAGCAATGCAAATTGAGAATTTATTCGCAGTTTATGTTGTAGTAGTTGTAAATTTGTTTTACTTTGTAGATAAATTGAGTCAGTTTTCTTCGAGTTAAGCTTACTAGTGTTTGACTATTAGTTCCATTAAGAGTTTGTTGACATAAAAAGTAAAAACGAAAGGCAAAAATCTTTAGATCTAAAAAGAGAAAACAAGAATATCGCAACCGAAAATAGGACGAAGTAATCTAAAGTTGAGATCAGTCGCACGCACGTAGCTCACCTTATTAACGGAACGGAGGTAGGACTCACCTTGTAACTTTATAATTTGTATGCTTATCTCATTGCCTAATGATCGGAAGTTTGGGCTGGATGTTTGAACTATTCATTAGTTTGATTTTTGGTAGAATTTAGGAGTGAGGACGGAGTACGCTCCGTCTCTAATTAAAATGAATGTAGATTATGATTTTTAAATAAACACAGTAGAATAGATTTATGTATTGCAAAAATTAACTACGAAACCCTGTCTGAGGGGTTCTACACCTATTTCGAGTACTACCTGTTATATTTCCTAAACAATAACCAAGGAGTTTAGATTCAAATCCAAAGCAGTAATGGTCAGCCTTCACAACCTGACTAGACATTCATTACTTGACGTAAATCTCAATAGAAAAAATGAACAAGAAAATACAGTGTCTTTTACAACTATATATAGCATAATATCTCATGCACACAGCACGAAGGCCTTGCCAAATTTGAGTGTCAACACTTAATGATATAATTGATTGAATGCCTATTGATACCTTTCAATGTACGGGACAGATCAATCTAAATTACCATGTTCATTGATCAACTCTGAATAACTGTTTGAGCAATTATTTAATGGCTACATAATAGCATTCAATTTAAACATCATAAATTGGAGTATTGCTATTTATCATTCAATGAAATGCAATATTAATACTTCATTGACTATAATTTTGATATTATTTTAGCACAAATATTAAAACACATAACACACATAACATAACGCCTTTTATCCCCGAAGGGATAGGCAGAGGTGCACATTGCGGCACTTAATGCCACTGTGCAATGTAACACCCACTTTTCACTATTTATGTTATGAGTTCTATATAATAGGGGGTGAGCCTATTGCCATATACGGGGCACAATTCCAGACTCCGTGCAACTACTGAGAATTCTTTAAAAAACCCAGTAATACTTTGCCCTACCCGGGAATCGAACCTGAGACCCCTTGCCCGACAGTCGGCAGTCGCACTTGCGACCACTCTACCTATGAGGCAGCCAATGAGCCAAATATTACAACGCGGGTTATTATTGTATGGTTAGTGTAGTGACTGGGCAATCAGTTATTGAGTCAAATATTGCAAATTCATTTCTTGCATTGATTCTGAAAAAAATTGTCGATACAGTGTCAAGTTTGGACGGTGCGCATGTATTTGTATACTATGTAGAAACTATTTGTGCTTTTTAAACGTATCGGCGATAAAGGAGAATAATTATAAGAAAATATATTTTAAAGAAAATCCAAAGGTAAAAAGGTGATGATAAGTTAATATCTATAGATATGTTAAGTGTTAATTTCATGTGGAATACACGAATTTCAGATTTCCCCCAAAGGAGTAAACAGGGGTTTTATAGCACATAAACTTTCGTCATTTATTTTTATTAGTCCCGTGTATGGCTCCCTTTAGTCTTATTTTTGTGTATCATCATTACGATGCCAAAATTCAATATTGTAATAATAATTTTAAAATCAAAACCCAACAGTGCTGTAGACTTAAATTGACAGCGACAGAAAATTTACATAAAATATCGCCTGTCATTTGATGCACTGTTCAGTAAAAAATGTACTTTTTTAATGTCATTGTGTTACAATTTAGTAGTTTCAGGGTATCAACATTAAAAATCTAATTAGTCCGTCAGTTAAATAATGAAAAAATATTAGACACGTATTTTTCATATATGTATTAGACATAGTATTAAGTTGTAATACTTAGATAACATGGCGTTAAGTTTACGAGTCGTTACGTAGCACGTCGTGACGTCACACGAAATTTCAAATTAATAATTAAAAAGTATTTTAATTTTGTGAGAAAAGAAAAAATACGTGTCTAATTAATTTACCAGACGAACATTAAAATAAAATTTAGGAAACTACTTTATTTTATATTCTTAAATCCCAATGTAAATCTAACACCCCATATTTAGCAGTTACACACATATTATCTACATCATTAATTCCATCTTACAAAACAGTAATTATCACAAAGTTTAATAATTCGTTCACCATCAGTGTAAGCAAGGCTCTAATGATAATGCCCTTACAATTCAGGCCAACTGTTCACCTTGGTTTAACGAGATCTGATTGATCTTAAACTGTATTGTTTATAGTGAACCAGTTACGTAATATTTACGAATATGTACAATCGATTTCGATTATCAGGAAGTATATTTGGGAGTTATTTTAGATTTTAGGACTGTTTATCTTTCTCTGTCTTTTCATGAATGAATGGAATTGATGTGGTTTTGTTTTGTTGGATTAGTCAAGTAAGAATTGCAATGGTTTCAAGCTGGACGCTAGTTTATTGTTTTTTTTTTTATGGGATAAGCCGGTAACCTCACTCACATGGCAAAACACAACGCAACGCGTTTCACGTCGGATTTCTGTGAGGCCGTGGTATAGCTCAGGTCGAGCCACCCTGTTCTTGCCGAAGCATGGTTCGTTTCTATTATTCTAAAAATAACATAACTACTCAAATATGTTATGCTATTAATACACCAACGTTTTTAAACATTTAAAATGTCACGTCAAACGTTATGATTCTCTGAATCCCTTAAATAATGGAATTTTCCTACACACTTTCTTCAGGTCTATTTTTATGACTCCAGGAAACAATTTGCTTCGCCGTAGCATTTTCGAAGCTACAATTTTACGTTTATTATAATGCTGAGAAAAATGGTTTAAACTTAAAACTAACTTAACTATATAAAGTGACTACAGCCAAGCCAAAAGAAAACTTTTCCTTTAGCAACTGCATAGCAGTTTTTTCCCAAGATTTAATACAAGACTTGGGTCTTTGTTCAAAATCTTCAAGTTTCTTTTTACAACACCGTCCCGGCTTTGTTTTAAATTTTAATTAAAAGTGACTTAGACCGTACATTGTACTTAGTTCCGTATATTTGGTTGACTTTTGAAATTGTTTGACAATTTGAAGTTGCAGCGTTTGTGACTTTGTTGAGGGAAACGCAGTACAATATTCTCTGAGCTTAAAATGCAAAGAGAAAGGTTCACTATTTGCTAGTTTGATTTTTCCTAAAACGATTTGGTTCACTGTCTCGTTGGCCGTGTGGTCGCAAGTGTGACTGCCGGGCAAGGGGTCTCGGGTTCGATTCCCGGGTCTTGCAAAATATTAGTAGTTTTAAAAAAAATCTCAGGAGTAGCACGGAGTCTGGAATTGTACCCGGTATATGGCAATAGGCTCATCCCCTATTACAAGCATAACATAAATAGCGAAAAGTGGGTGTAAAATTGTACAGTCGCATAATGTGCACCTCTGCCTACCCCTTCGGGGATTAAAGGCGTGATGTTATGATTTGGTTCACATTTTGGCTTAATCCACATTCTTAATTGTTTAGAAACTATTTATTTGGGTAGGTACCTAATTTTTATTTCAAACCTCCCCACAAACGTTATTATTAAGTAATCTATACGTTGTTTAGTGTGCACTATTCGATGGATGATATCCCGATTTTTGTGAGAATCTTATTTTATAAGGTCGGAAACATGAAACTATAAACAGACTTTCTACTCGTTTAAATACTTTCACATCAACCACTAATCAAATTAGCCAAATCAATCGCATTTACAATTCACAAACCACGGAAGGAAATTAATCCTGAACGAAACCAAACTAATCCGAACGTAGGCGATAAGAAACCGCACCTTGAACATAAATCTAACAAAGTCCAGAATGACATAATAAAATAAATACCAATAATTTAAGCTACACATAACAATAATACATTTGACAGTTCATTTGAAAGTCTACATTCAGTAATAAATACAACATTGTTGCAACTAGAAGCAACAACACTACTTAACACGTATACATACATAGTTCCACATCAAGCAATGATAAACCAGTATACACTGACCGTTGAACGTGTGGCAAGACTGTGCAAAGACAGACCATGATAAATTGGTTGTATAGTTCGATATGCAGTTGTATATACGATACAACAACAAGGTTTTATATTACTGTTTTCTACATAGTAAGTTGTTATTTGAATGGTAACGTTTGTTTTAAACGCTTAAGCTTTAGATTTCATTGTAATAATGAAATGTTGTTAAAGTATTTCAAGAGTAAGTTGAGCTTGACTGTGGAGTTCTGTGAATTCCTAGCTTCGCTTGTTAGCTCGGTTCTTCGTACTAAGCTATTGGGTTTAAATGGTATTGTCGAGTAGTGTAAGGTGATAAAAGAAAAATGTAATAGAATTATATTTCATTTTTATTACTATTTATTAATGTTGTGTCAAAGCTAAAAGCAAAAAGTAATTCCCTGATCTTTTACAATTGATGAGATTTCGTTATGTGTTCATACACATATATATTAATATAAGTACTAAAATCCCAAAATCTATACAAAACAAAGAATAATAAATGTATTTATATAGCACTATCTCACTCGATCAAAACTTTATCTAATCCTGAACATATTCACATCGAAAACTTCGTCCATTTACTCGCTGCATTATTCAAACTCAGTGTCCAAAAACATTGTTTAATCTGTTTGATCTCATTCCCTATCTTTGTTTTCATCAAACACTTTATTAAACCTTGTAGCTACTGTTTCATTATCTACATAATTATCAGGCACTTAATCATTGCCGTTTAGAGCATTTAATTTGTCATTAAGTGCCACAACAACTTTGATATGATCGGTTGACACTTTACAAAAGTCAAGTGAAAATGTAAATATTGTTTGTGGAATGTACCGTTTGAAAGTTCCAATGTAACAGTACCGTGCTAGTTTAATGATCATAAAGTGTGTATAGTAATGACAGGTGGCTACACCATTGTTAATGGGAGTGCCATAGTAACCCATTTCTCTCAGTCATCTCTTACATGTTGCGTGGGATTATAAGCAGCTGATGCACTCTATAATTCCCCTTTTATATCGTACACTTCATATTTTCATCCACTCTAAACGGTGGCTTTAACTTTAAACGCATCAAAGAAAACACAAAACATTTTCAACTTTATTCCTTCAAATAAATCTTTCGCGGTTTCTTTGATCACACCCAGAACTTTTTGTAAACAATACTTCTTGCAGTGGTTCTTCAAAATTATTCACACAACATGTTCAATTTCTATAAAATATGTTTCGTCACACCAAATCGGCTTTTTACCACAAGCCTCTACTTACCGGCCTATAATAGGGCCATTTATTTTTTCCCCAAAAATGGCCCTAAAGGGTCCTATTAGTCACGGTGCGGTGCCATACAAAAGTGTTCTGGCTAATGACGCGGTGGGCTTGTACTTTCGGATATGATCAGAAATATTAGCCATCGGTTTCCCGAACTTTTTATGATCAGTTCAAATTATGAAATATGTCAGATATCTTTTTTTATCTTGTTCAAAAACTTTGTAACTATTATTTTTGATTAGAAACGGTTCTACATATTATATTTGACGTGAACTAATCTTGTTATGTCGAATTGTAAATCAAGTATGTCTGATGATACGTCGCGATAAACCCGTTTCGTTTTTTGTCCTAATAGATGATACTGCTAGATCTAATATTAAATGCCTTGTTAAATAAAAACAAAGCCAATCATAAGTTAAAAAACCAAATAGAATTATATTAAAGGAACGTTAATTGTCAAATAGTTCACACACTACACAAAGCCAGTACCAATACAAAGTCGTCTAAGTAAATATTGGTCTAACTTTCCAACGTTATTGTTTTAGGTGATGCGTGCGCGCAAGTGAACATGGCGCGGGGGGGTGTCGTGCTCCTCGTGCTATGGGTGGCCGTCGCCGCCGACAAACATGGTAAGTACCATACACATTTGTTCTTTTTGTTCTTCGGCGAAGACTGAAATCGTGAGGCCGGTTCCGAAGTTATTGGTAGTAGAGGTATTAAAACAAATATCACGATATTTATATAAACCATTTACAAGCATTGAATCGGTACAGGTTTAAATGCGTGATCATTTCTGAATGCGTTATTATGAACCAGTTCTGCACCGTAATTACTCACAAACTCTCCAAGGATTACGTTTCTGAATAACTTTTGCCAGAAAATATTTTAAAGACTAGCAAAAAGCTTTCACTGCGCCGAACGTGTATTTTGAAAACTTCTGCGCAAAATATTCATGAATTCTAATCCGGACTTTCAAGAATTTAGGTCACAGCCCTTAATTTAAAAAGTTCCAACTCCATATCTTCACGGTTAATTACCGGCCATGATTTATGGAGAGGCAAAATTTCTCCCCGTAAAGCATCGTTTTATCTGTGGCCCTCAAAAATCTAAGTGGGGTAACAAAAAATGATGTAAAAACTGTAGAGTTTGCACCTAATCTTGAGTCTGATAAAGAAAGCAAAAAGTGTAACTGTCACCAACGGATCGTTGATGGTAAAAAACGATGATACAAAGCCGTACTTGAGAGGCTAAAAGGTGAAAGAAATGGTGACGTCGATAATGTTAGTAACAAACAAGAAATTATCTGTATTGAGGGCGTCAGATCTGAAGGTTCGTTGTTAAATGTTGGGATTGACACCATGTGTTGTCATAGCGCGTCTTCGATGATTGACGCACGGAACAGTTAATCAAACTGCATTATTTGAACGGTGTAATGGATTTTACAAACGTAATGACGTGGCGTTTTGTTAATCTGTCGAGATTGAAATGGATAAACAGGTAGTAAGTTTACGTAAACTCTGCCGTTATTGTTACGAAACTTTTCGGAAATGAATATTGATGGTAAAAATTTCCGCGTGTAAGTATTGCGTTATATTATTTTTATTATATTTCGTGATAGATACAAATAGAAACTCTTTTCATATAAAATCAACATTTGATTTAAAAATGTCTAAAGGAAACTGGTTTAAAAAGTATTCTGATCTAAAGTAAAGTAGTATATCGGTGATCGATGATCACACACGCTCTTATAACCAAACTTCAAATATTTTTCTAAAGCAACTCCGCTCACTAAGATTCTTCCACAGAGTACCGTCCACTCGGGCATCCATCAATGCCTTATATAACACTGTTTCTAAATATAACATTGTCTCGTCAAGCAAAAGCTTACTATGAAAAACCAGGTCACGAATGTACTCACGTGTGAAAATTCGTTAATGAAAGAGAATCAATACTCATGAGAGATAGTTTGAAGTGCGAGTTGGTCACGATTTTAAATGGTAAACGTGCAACGAGGCGAGTTACGTTAGGTTGTTATTGGGTTTAAAGAAATCGACGAAAGAAATATAAACATCTGAACTTACTTAAAAATGTAAGTCATTAAAACACTTTGGAATTTTTTAAGCACAAAGCAAATCTAAAACAAATCTTAAGACAACATAATAGAGATAACAACGTATAAAAAGGACAACACGCGTTACTAAAAAAGATTGAACAAAAAAAAACAGCAAGAAACAGGACACCAAAATAACATTAACGCGGTGACTATAGCACTACCTTACGACAACAAAGTTGAAGATTCGAATCTACAAACTCTTAAATATTTCCCCGTTACCGCGAAAAAAATCCATACATCCATTAAAGTTGAAATCGGAAACGACCACTCGACGGCAGCTGCTGGCGTGAATGAAACACTAAATAATAGCGAAAGACTCTCAGGAGAAGCCATGGAGCATTATAACCCGACTAACAAAGGGATTATCTTGTTTGGGAAACTCTTGACTGGCACTCTATGTATCGTATTACCATTGAAGTTTTTGTGGGTGTGGTCCAAGTCGGGGTGAGAATTCGGCGACATTCAAAGAAATTTTGGAGCACTTTTTGCACCTTGTTACTTATTGTATGTTAACGGTTCAGTTGTTTTGGTAATTTGAAATGTATTGTCGATATTTTTGTGTACCGTCCGGTCCCTTTTTACAAATTTTTGACTCGTGGAAGTGTAAGTTATTATTACTGTAAACTCATAGCTATTGAATAGGAAACACATAAAATATATTGTCGATTACAAGGAGATGTTGTTTGACAAAACCCACATTGTTTGCGAAATCGAATCGATACAAGATCGTGACTCACTTAATTAAAATACCATGGTGTGCAATATCTTATCTCAATCTCAGCATACCGTTGTAACATTGCTGACTACAAAACAGTGTTAAACCCATGTATTGCAAGAATTTTGTGCTGCATTATTGGTTGGCTATTTTACTGCACCTTTATAAATTCTTTCTCTCGTTGTAATGAACTCGTCATCAAACGACTTCGGATCACAATGCCCGTCATAGCTCGTTTATTTCGAACTTCGCGTATCCCCGCCTACAGTGCCATTAAGTAGATCGAGTATGTCTTTTTACGTTTCTCTGGCGCTAAGTGCATTTGCTAGTAAACTGCATCAAGCATCGTCCCATCCAGTGACGAGTGTGTGCTACAGATGTTTGGTAATGCATCCGCTTATTGTATTGTCTTAATGCTCGCGAAATGAACATTTGTGTTATCTTCAAGATTGTTTTGGTATCTTTACACATCTTTTGCTTTAAAGGGACAGTCTTAAGTGGTGTCAGCGTTAAGTGCTTCAGATATATAGGCACGTGCAGGATAATGTTTAAGCTTTCATCTGATCGATATAAGATGCAGCTATTGTATTCTAGTAACTAACTTTGGTGCTACACCTAGAATACTCTGGTGACAGTATTTGTCGTCTCTTGCTTTCACAAATGCCTTTATACAAGTATCCTATTCTAAAGGCTCAACTTCTAGCTCCCGATCGCCTAGCAACACAGTATGTAAATACGACTGCATTCCTTTATGTACTCTCCATAGCGCATAAAGGTTCTGTTATCGCTCAACTGAATAGGGCACAAGCTGATACTGTGGCTATTACGGCCAACTTTTATAAGAGCACCGTATACCCACTTAATGTAACAGCTACATCTGTTAAGTATCAGTGATAGAATCCCTTAATAAATGTAATGGGAATATTTAGGTTTATAAATAAATTGAGTGCTTTAGATTTGGTATTAAGATAGCAACCATGTTTTGAATGGTATTAGTTTTATGACGTCCAATATAAGTGGATAATGGCCTCGGTTCCTATTTGGGAAGTATTGATTGAGGAACGGTCATTAAGTTATCTGTCCGATATGTATAGAAATTAAAGAAAATTTATTGAACATGTCAGTTTCTTATCACAGTTTTACAGATCTACTTAATGTTTTATCTTTGTCTGTATTTAACTCGTCGAGTACCGTCATCATAGACACAATTATAGAACAATAGGTTGCGGTCACCGGTGACCGCTTGGTGTTTGACAGTTTAAAGTGGTTATGTTACAAATGTGTCGATACTACAAATAAAGAAACACAAGTTACAACTAATTTCAAAAGATTCTGAGCCGTCATTTGTTCAATTTTAAAAGGCATAAGTCGCAGTAATTGTCTGCCATCATCAATAAAACCAATTGTTAGCGCATCTGTAGAACGAGCCAAGAATTCTTCTTCGACGTTGATTAAGAACGGGCCATCAATAAAACTCCTATCGTGAATAAAATCGATGCCTTCATTAATTATTTTCTACTAGCTTTTACTGACTTGGACTGAAACTTAATACCTGTAAAGTGTGAACCATTAATTTGGGTCAAATTCGATTTTCGGTTGGTTAACATTAACACTTGATACTATTGAGGAAGCAGTTGGGAATTCGGTTTTAGTTATAAAAACTTTAACAGAGTGGGATCTTCATTACAACATCATTCTTGAGCACTTGATTGAAAACCTTAGAAAATCGGTAATCTAGAAGAAGACCTGCACACTGTAGGTGCATTTAAGTGATTTGATTAATGATATGAACCTAGTAAAATTCAAAAATATCAAATTAATGAACCAGTAATTACAACAAAAATTAATACATGATATTGCAGTTTATATAAACTCATTTACAGGAAGACGAACCCCAATATTTCGTTTCGTTTATAAACTTAGTCCTCGAGAACGAACATTCGTCAATCCCGTACGCGTTTCATGTCACTAAACACACGACATTTCGTCCCATTTAAAATTCTGTGATTCCAAACGTTTGGGGTATTTTAAAACAAAGAAAACATACCATTAGTTATGTAAGGCATTTCTTAAGTGATCTGTTTATTGTGACACAACGGGAAATGTAGAAAATATATTGGATAAATTATATATTTTATAAGACAAGAACAAGAAGTTTAAAATAATGAGTAGCTTCTGTAGACAATACCGAGCTCTGGGCACATTTCTTTGTCCAATTATATAAGAGCAGCGTTGTAGTTGCTGTCAAGGTGTCTTTACATTGTTTTTAGTTTTATTGCTCAAGAATAAAGTGTAGTTTTCTTCAGATAAGTTTCATTAAGATGGAGCAAAACTATATCTTACCTTTTCAATAGCCTCTTCTGCAGATAGTACAGAACATTTTTATTGTGTACCTTTGAGACTTTTACAAAAATGAGCGATACAATACCTTGTAATTGCGCTTGACAAGTACATTCTATACTACGTTGACAAAAGCGTGTCTCCAGAAACTGTTCAGAATAGAAGACGTGTGCTAAAACCAGTTATTTCAATGAACATAAAAAGCGATAGTAACGAATACGCCGGGGCAGCACAAACACATGTTCTCAACAATACAAATAACATCAAAGTCGAACACATTGATCTTAGTACAGACGATGGACATTTATTTATAATTTACAAAGTTCGTGACGACGATCGAGTTAGTTACGCTCCTTGTAACGTTTAAATGGAGTTTCGTCACTATAGATAACACTTGTACAAGAATCGTGAATGCTTCTCTCAGTTACTGTTGTGATGGGTAGGGCTGCTTGCAATCTAAAATTACCAATTAACCTCTGCTGTGTTGATATTGCTCGTGATAAGTATTGCTTGTATGACGGTACTATTTCTCGTTAAAGTTAGAAACTTGGTAGTTGATAAAATGAGTAATACAATGTAAATATTGTTTTTATTTTGACAACATGTGATATAATTATTATGGTGCTAGAATACTTAGACGGCTTTTACAATTTTTTTACTTTTTCAATGTAATCTAAAGTAAAAAACTAACTGGAAATAATTCACCAACCAGCCCTGAAGACGACCTACATAACAAAAGCATTGATATAAACCAGTCAATAGGAAACTCGCATATCAATAGAAATACGATAGGAACTGCACTCGAATCGAACGTTAATTAAAATTCTGATAAAGAAATGAATCTTGGTGAAGATTACGAAACATTTGATACTAATAAAGCCGTTAATCAAATTCCAAGTGCTAAAAACCAATTAAAATTGACAGGCGACTTGCTCAATCGGATGGTCAGAAATGCTCGAAGCAAATAGAATAATGTAATTGACTTCACCTTCGTCACTGTGACATGGAGAGTGTTTTTTTTTTTAGAGAAATGGTAATTAATGTCCCGTTTGGATTTGTATTATAATTAGAATATGTTAAGCATTTTGTTTTTGTGTCTGACAAGCGTGAGATTGAATTTAGGATCGTTTTACTAGCTGGTCTGATGTATTTGTTTTGTTTCACTTGGTTAATAATTTTTGTTTAACTACTTACAAGTGATTTATCGTCTACACCATTATCATTACGCGTACCTACATTTTACTCATGTATAATACCTTATTTAATTACAAAACGAGCAGCAAAAGTTAAGCGATTTTCAGATAAAGAAGTAACACTTGAGCAGTTTGAAACGAAATTGATATTTTAATCATTTTAACACAATTTCAAACCAGAAAGCGGAAAATGTTTCACAAAACAAATCCTATTAAGGAAAAATAGATTCCAGAAGGAAATATCGTTCGGCCCCCACGAAAACGGAAATAGAAATAAGCTGAACGGAAGTGAAACTAATTAAGTTATCCACGGTTCGCTCGAGTTGCGGTTTATTTTCGTACAATTCCCTAGTTCAAATAATAGTAATACTGTCAACAGCGTAGGCGTAACATATACTGATGTGCTGATAGCGATTTTGGGCCAAATTCTGGAGAGGGAAGAATTCGTGTTGTTGTTCTTGAATTTTGAAATTAACGGGGTGGATTTAAAGTTGGTTTTCGGTTGGAGGATGCTGAATTTATTAAGAGGGGAGAATGGTATCCAAATATCTATGTTTTGCGTGTAAATAGGCGCGAGTGACGCTTCAAACCAGGTGCGGACTTGGAGTGAAATCGATGGCATGACTTGGAGGGTACATGTTATTATGACAGTTGCTATTTATCCCGAGCGACACGGAATATATTTTAACTCTGCAATTAGAACAAGTTCGTACTTAAGTGAAAGCTATTAGTCTTATTAGCGTTGATATTTTGTGAAGTTTTAATTGGTCTTTAAATTGTTTGCGACGTTTTAGTAATGCAAGCTGTGTTCGTGTGCTTATTTTAATTTGTTATTAAATTAAAATAAGCACTCGAACACAGCGACGACAACGAAGATTTGTTATTAAATTAAAATAAGCACACGAACACGTTATGATTGTACTTTTGATGGCGAAACACTTGTTTATGTACCAATACTACCAATACAACACGCGTATTGATTAATGAATTAATTATTCGATTACTCTATAAGCATTCATGACGTAAATTACGATGTCTTATTCAATTTATTAGTGTAACATTTCAAATTATCGTATCCTTCCAGTCTGTATTTTGAGGTGCCGTTTTTTATTCCAATGACATTAATATTCCTAAAGTCGAAACAGATTACACGAAATTGAATCTTAAATAATAAAGAACTAACACTGACTTTTTGTATTGTTACAGAGGTGTCAAACATAACTACACCAGAAAGCACCACAGCAGCTCCCACACCACCGATACCCTTAAGACCTGAATACGCCCACCCTGCCGGTGCTGAAGCCTTAGACCCTTATAATTCAGAGAAGAACCATGCAGCTCCACATCATAGAGACTATTTAGAAGAAGACTACGATCACGAATCACATAAAGAAGACGAACAAGAAAATAGAGAAGATGCTGATGAACTACCTTCGTTATCTGGCGATCATCTGTTGCAAAGTTCGACTGATGACTTGCCAATGTTTCTCTTAGAACCACAGCACGCTTTTGTGGTGAGAAACAAACCTGCAGTGTTGAGATGTCGGGCAGCGAATGCTCTTCAAGTGTATTTCCAATGTAATGACGTGAGATCGGTGGCTAGTACGCAATTTGAATTTGTGGATCCTCAAAGTGGAGTGCGAATTGTGGAAGCTGAGTGTAACGTGACGAGGGATCAATTGGACGAGTATTTCGGTGAAGACAGATTCACTTGTACGTGTAATGCTTGGAGCAGTAGAGGTGATATCAGAAGTCAGCCCGCCGTCGTCGAGTTGGCATGTAAGTACTCATAACAATACTGTTGTGTCTACACACTGATTTTTATCTGAAAGTATTTTCCTTATTGTCACGTTGTGTTTTGGTTATTCATATTATGAACGCTTCTGGAGGGTAAATATAGAACTTTACGTCGTCGATTTTTATCAATCAGGTCAAATATACCTAGATGTTTTCCTCATAAAGTAGCAACATTAGTAGGGTACTGAACCTATTTTCCCCAAGTCCGTATTATGATAAATATGATACTAATTAGTGTGATTTATAAGCTATACTTAGAAGAGTTACAAAAAATATGTTATTACTCTCATATATCCAGAAATCATTTCATTACCCGCTCAATCAAATTAACTCTATTAATTTAACTTTATCTTTCAGATCAAAAGATTAAAAGTATTTTTATTTCTATCAACCAGTCGTGTATCGACAGCTCTATCAATAACCCAAATACTTCCAATTTCCACGGTATTCAGATAGTTATAAAAATATATTGTTTCCTGTCAAACGAGCGCACGGCCGCGGAACATTTCATCAAACCTCATAATTCGTGGCGAGTTTCCGTAGACGATTTTAGAATAACCCAGTTAGGATTGTTGCACGCCCATCTCCGGTCCAAGACATAACGTTAATAGCTGGAGATCACCGTTCTTTTCTTATGCCAAGATATATTATGACTTTTCGAACGTTCTGAAGCATCTTCATTTGTGAACTTACAATAAATATTGATTCTCTCAGCATAAACTTCTCCTTAGACATCTTAACGCTTCATTCAAATACAAACAATAGCGTATATAACTGTAGATACTAAACCTTGGTTACAATTCGACGTGCATTGATGAATTGACCAACTACTATGATGGATCTTACGAGCATCAACGTAGCGACAGACGTTGATGTGCGATCCATTATAGCATTTAAATTACTCTCTAGTTTCCACAGCTTGGAAATATCTATTAATTTCTAAGGTAACTTCGACAAGGGTATATTTAAGTAAGAATACAATATTAATACGTTGTCCAGGACCAAAATAAACTCACCAAAAAGAGCATGTTGTGACAAGACAAAGTGCCGCCACCATCAAACTCCCGTGATGTATGGCGCCATTAATATTGTTCATAAACTGTATTACGGACAGTTGCTCGATTAAATTCAATACCCATTCGTGGTAAATCTTCTATGCATATTAAATAAATGTCGGAATGACCGTTGCCTGGATTTATGGGTGTTGGGCAATACTTGAGGCGGTCAAGTACGAGTACTGTTATTTTGATACTAGAACATACGCACATAAATCATGTTTTGTTGTAATTATGGTATCTTCTCTTGTTATTTATTTGATAATTGGATGGGGTATGAAATAAACATAAATCATGTTTTTTTTTGTTTCTTTTGATTAGCTACTGTTGAATCATTTGCTTTTGAATCGATTATCGAGAGCTTTCCTATTGGAATTCATGAAATTATAACATGACTCATAAAACTGACATGCACTGAACATAAAAACTGTTTATGACCATTATCTAGACAAGGATAACAGCATACTAGAACTGATTACACTAATCCATTTCCACCTCCCCTACCCGAACACCGTGGCCAGAAATCACATATTCAACGAAACAAAGGCGAGATTAGATCAGAATGTAATTCATGACATTCAATGATTCCTGCAATGGCACTCCTGAGTCATGCCACGGAACATAAAGTTCATTGTATTGCAAAATTGTAGATTGTGTCGAAGTAGAACAACGGTTTAAAGTTGAAGCTAGACCTTACTAAGTAATAAATTGTGATTTTAGATATTAGTAATTTATTACACCAAGCGTTCGCATGATCCGAGCTTGAAGGAAAAGCATAGCAAATGAGAATTTTAATTTGGTGAAAGTTTTAATAGTGAAATGCAAGTGTATTTTGACGGTTTGAAAGAGATAAGCTAGGTTCGTGTGAAGATTTTAATTGGAAACATGATACTTACACTTTCAATTAATTTTGAATCTAGATACTACATAAATATTGCCCGCTTTATAAGTCAAGGAGAGCCAAACACGTCTACTGGCTAAGTAATTCTCGAATATGATAGGCAACTCGAAGATGTCAGTAATACATAGCTTGGATTCTTGAGTTATGTGTATGGTGTGAACTCCCTTCCCACTATTTGAAAGTCATAACACAACCAGTAAAAGGTAATCTTCAGAAAAATATATACGATGATAATAATCTAAGCACACTAATTGGCAACATGTACAAAATACGGAAACCATATCCAAAATCCAAAGATATAAACTCCCTAGATACGCCACCATTCTATTGCACAAGCGAGCGAACAATTAAACCCGTCAGGATGTAAATTTAGTGCAAGTTTACCGCGCGCAGTCTCTTCGCACAATTAAGAGATTGTAATGTCTCTCTCAATTTCTGTATTTAGATGTTTATGAGTTTTCTCTGCGTATTACCGGATGACTGAGAACGCGTGTGTTTTATTCCGACTTGTTAGGTTAAGTCTTTATTTTATTTCTACTCTGGATCGAGGGTGACAGTGAAATCTGTTTCGGTTTGTTTGTGTTCCCTCTGTTGTAAGATTCAGGTGACTGATATTAAAAGCATGGTAAGTAATTGTTAACATCATTTTATAAGATGTCAACAATCGCAAAAAGACGAACTGTTGTTTGAGGTTATATGCTTGATTTGCGACTCTTGATGGTATTTTCTAGTTTAAAGTTACCACTGCTGCAGCTTTTATTATATTTTTCTAAACTAGAGCAAAAATTATGACAATGAATGAAGAAACAAAAGTGAAATAAACAATACAATTAATTGCTCATACCTATCTATATTTTATAACAACAGATATAATGTGAAGTCAGTAATCTCACGAGTGATATATTTGTGTAACACAAACATTAATGTTTTGATATCCTACGCTTGAAATCAACTGATTGATGAAGGCACTTAAAGCAAATACAACGGAGGCACTAATTTCGTAAGATGCGTTCTTGAAGACATTACACGTCAACTTGATTCATTCTCAAAATACACAAAATAGGTACACATCCCTACTTAAACAGCATCTATGAAGCTATTAACAATAATGGATGCATAGTAAGTACGCATAAAAGTGTCACTGGTAAGTCGCCTCCGACAATTTACTATGGCTATGTAGGAATGTGATGTTTTTAAGTTGACTTCTATAGTGGGGGCTTTTAATGGATCGGTAAACGAGTCGCGTGTCTATATTTAACATTTTCATTGATTGTAAGGTAAAGTTGGCTTTCAGTTATAGTGTTGATCTATTATTGAGTATCGGAATGGACGTCACTGTAGTGTGAAGGCGTTTGTACCTATTTTTGAAGTGTACGGTTTCATTCGCTGCGAGAGTTTTGTATGAATGTTTTAGTGTAGGAACGTCTGCGTTTTACGTGGATATCAGAATTTGTAGGTAGGTACTAGACTTTAGGTTGGTATTTGTGAGGTAATTGGTTTTATTCACAGATTGGACTGATGTAGATTTGCCTATTAGGAGTTATTTAGTTACCTACATATTGGTAAACTAATACGTACGATATATTGTGGTGCAAATAAGGGTTATTTTATTATTGTGGAAAATATTTATATTTTATGCATATAAAATACGAGACTATGCCTTTCACGCTTGAAATAAAACGATAACTGTATGAAAGCAGTGTGGCTGAAATAATTCAATGTTAACAGACAGAAAATCCGTATTCCATATACGGCGCTGCATTTTTGGCAACAAAGATATAAAGTAACATGATTGAAATACTGGAAGTGACACACATTTTGTTACTAATAAAATAAAATAATGTTATGTCTCGCTTTTTTTCAATGAATAGGTACCTACTTGTTACAAAACTACACAATTGTCCATCAGTTTGTCTGTAATACACACTGATAGACAAAAAGACGCACAATTTTGTTGTGACATTTCAAAATTGTCTGTATCTGGATTATTTGGAATATTTACTTTGCCTTCAATTTCTACGGCTATGTATAAATTAACACGTTCGAGGACGCTACCACTTGAGTCGGGTTTCCAGAATGACACAGTAAATGTCTATATAAAATTATACGACGTATCAGTACGTAGTGTCTCATGCAAAAATATTGTTTTAAACATATCATGACACAACCGTTTTATCACGTCAACGTGTATATGCATCTTGGTAATGATACGCCTCGTTGGAGGTGTCGGAATCATGAAACATGCTTATCATATGCCTTATTTGCGCTTATATCCGTCTAAAACATACAATAACCTATTAAACATCAATTTCACACTGTAAAATCATTAAATTGCATTAAACACATAATACACAGTGACACAGCCGCGTTGAATGTAGGAGCGCGGGACGTATAAATACGTTGTGCATATGTGAATACCGTAACCGCACTCTATCAACGGCACTTATTTGAAATAGTTCTAAACTTACCCTACGTGACAGTACAGTGTTGGGTATTTTATGTGTTGTGACACAAGATACATTCAAAAGGATTTTTACTTGAACTTTCATCGGAAATGAACGTTCTGCCGTATAATTTAAATGTTATTTGAACGTCATCGTACGTTGTGCCGAATTAACATCTCGAACGATGACGTATAATCTCGTTCTGTCCTCGAACGTGTTAAGTTGTGTGCTTGATCGATTTGTTTTATCTATAGTGTTAGAAGTTGTGAGAGTTTACAAAAGGGAAATGAGTGCTATGAATAATTACGGTGTTCGCTAGTTATTAAATGGCTCGACTGTGTTTATGCAAAATTGCAATATCGTACTTGAGAGTAGTATGGCTTTCACCGATGCTTTTCTTATAGAAACACCTCGAGAAAATTTCTCTTGAAATATTTCAATTCCAATTAGCAATTCTTTAATTAATATTGGGTACCGAAAAACTTTTTAGACTACAGATAATTCCAAATATCCGAAGTAGGTAATTAGTGATCAGGATTAATTAAAACACATATCACCATTAACCTATAAAATTAAGACAAT